AAATAAATGGAACGATTAAAAGTAAATAGAGCAGTTGAATACAAAGATCGATAAGCATAGCCTATTTCTACGTTAATGGAAGAATGTTAGACATAGATTTATTCTACAAAACGTCTAGTTATATAAAGACCATTCTGAGTATGAGATTCAGCTTTGTATTTAATTATGCGGTTAATCTGAAATTGAAATACATTAAACACGATAGCTTTATCGAAGCGCGAGATGCGACTCGCGATTGCGTGCGGTTGGTTTCGGTCGATTATTTCTATCGAAGAATTATATTTAGAAGTATGGTTTTACGGACATCTTTGCTTTTATCGAGATGCTTTACAGTTTTGATGGCCCCCAACAGCAATCTGCAACCTGTAACCTGGTTCACATCTTCAATATGATAATTCAAACGACTTGCCTGTTATGTTTGAATAGAATGTATTAATATTAATTAATAAATTATCATATTAAAGTTTTCTGAAAATATAGATCTAGTAAAGAAAGACAACTAAAATCATTGCTGTTAGACTAATAGAACTAAACAAACGGATGCACATTTAAAGGTTAATGGAAGAATACCACTTCACCAGCGCCTGTGATTATTTGTAGCTAGTAAAGTATTGTTTACCCTGGAGCACACGTGTTGTGGTGTAGAGTTATCACTGATAAAAATCTTATAAATATTTATGGAAATAATTGAAACTGTATTTTCAGCTTTATTTATAAAATTTAAACCTTTCCTGGAGGCAGTATCACAAGTTATCAATGAAAACGAGCAATTAGTTACTCTGACATTGTCACAATGCTGGGCTGCAATATTTTTTATCGTATTTTTAATTTATTTAATTTAAAATATAAGCTTTTCACTTTAGAGCAGTCTCTTGCCCTTGTACATCATACATTCTTACTAGCAATAGAGTCGTGCAGGTCATCTATCTAACTTCTGTCAGGGGAAAATATTTGAATTGAAATAACACGACTTCCGGTGCAAAGCAGACGTTCCTGTACCGTTAATCGGGGATTCCAGCCCTTATACTAAGAGCGATGCTAGACAGATGAAAGCCGATACTAGATATAAAAATATCTAGTCTCGGCTTTCATCTGTCTAGCATCGCTCTCGAGATTAAGGAAAGACAGTCTGTGGGAATTTTTCAAATTGCAGCCCAATGAAATTTATTATTTTATGAGTAAAACCTTTGATAAATATATCAATTAATTATAGAAAGATCGCTATGCTTATTTTCTATTCCACATAACAGGTAGGAGAAACATGTAAACGTTTAATCTGCATTTATTTAATATAATCGTTTATTTTATTTATGTAAACAAAAGTGCATCCGTGTACACAGTATTTTATTTATAATACAGTGCATTATGTCCATTTCGAACTGTAACTTTTAAAAATGATTTGTTTTGCAATCTTCCTCTTGGCGTTTTCTAACCTTCCAAATCAGGAGCATTCTGAAGGTAAGGTTATCTCGCATAATCATTGTTAGTATTTTAGATTTTAGATTAATTAATTTGCGAAATTATAAGTAAATTCAGGAGATGTAGATTTACTCTTGCAAAATCCCGATATTTTTGGTGGCGATATTATCGGAGATTTCGATAATGTAAGTAATAATAGAAATCGATAGAAGTTTGTAAATTAAACAGTTGTGGCGTAAATGTATAATAATCATTGTTACTCCAAATTACTCCTGTAATTAAACATTTGCAGACGAGGGGTGTAGTTCCAAATAACAATAGGTTGTGGCCCAAAGAATCCATACCATACGAAATTGAAAAGGAACTGTGTAAAAATGTTCTTAATTGTTTAAAATCTTTCAAATATATAACTTTTAATATCTCGTTTTAAAACTTTTAGTAACTTACGAAACGTTTAACGGTTAATAAAGGAAGCCATAATACATTTCGAACGAAATACTTGTGTTCGGTTTGTTAGGAGAACCAATGAAAAAGATTACGTAAGAATGTTCAAAGGTCCTGGTTAAGTAATGCAAAAAAGAAAATGAAAAAAGTATAAACAAATGTATAATTAATTTGTATAATTTTAGCTGTTTTTTACATATCCGTCGAAATAAAAAAGTACAAATTTTATCACTGGGGAGAGGTTGCTGGAATCTTGGAAGCATAGTTCATGAATTGAACCACGTTGTTGGCTTCTACCACGAACAGAATCGACCCGACAGACATGAATACATAAAAGTATTTTGGGAGAATATAAATTCAGGTAAGTAAATTTCAATTTCAACAATTATTTGCAAAATATATAATTGTATTTAATGTATTATTGTAATCCACTTTAGATCAAAGTGTTAATTTCTTTATGTTTGCGCCACATCGAATGAGAATATTAAATGAATTTGATTATAATTCCGTCATACTTTATGGAGAAAGTTATTTCTCAAAGAACGGGCGCAGCAAAACTATGCAAGCAGAATGTGAGTTTCACTGACGTCAGCAGTAAACCAAAGTTGAGCAAAAGTGATATCTTTCGTATAAATACTTTATATAGCTGTAGTAATTATATGTAAAACTGGTTTATATAAATCGTACTCTGCATTTTTATAATATATATATATTTATCTTTGTTTATATCTTATATTTTATGATTATCGAACATTATTTTATTTTGTGATTTCTTTAATATTGAGAAAAATTTAATAATTTTGTATGAAATATATTTAAATTTTAAAAAGTCTTTAAAATTAAAACGTCTGTGTATTGGAATTTCGCTATATATAAAGGGTGGCTCAAAAGTCTGTTTACCATTTGTTTCGCAAACAATTTTGTTTTAATTCTTGTAAACTTTATAAGCAATAAATTGTTTAAACAAGAAAAAAAATTATCTTTGTACTCGAATTTCGTAAATGCTGTATGCATATAAAAATTTAAACGATAAATTATTAATTTGATTTTTGTTACTAATTTTACTAGTGAAACAAAAAGTAACTAAAAATTATGAAATATTATAATCAAGTTATTATGTAAATTTTCAGTTAAAAATTTAAAATAAACGAGGACTTAATAATTATTTACGTTGTTGATACTTTTGCTCTGTGCGCACTAAAAGGGCCTTTTTATTATAAAGGGGTCCGTCGCCTCATTGGAAGAAAAAATTAAGAAAATAGAAAAAAACATGAGATATGAAAAAAAATTCGTGGGTTTTTTCTGTATGTATGGATTGTATGTTACTATGTGTGAGGAGCACGATTTTGTACACCCTCTTTGAAGCTTAATAATTCCTGTGCTTTTTGTTGAAATTTTCTGAATTTTTGCAGGAAGGTTTGTTTATTAGGGTGTTGATGAAATTAGTTTGAATTTTCGTGATTAAAGGTCGATGTAATCTATACTAATATTATAAAGAGGTAATGTTTGTAAGTAAGTAAGTAAGTTTGGATGTAGCGGGTAATCTCCGAAACTATTCATCCCATTTCAAAAATTCTTTCACCAATATTTACAATGGATCTTCAGAGTGGACATAGGCTATATATTATTCCGTTAAACATGAATATAAATTAAAAGATATAATCTATGTTAAAGCTTTTATGTCCAACAGATGGCGCTACGAGTACGACGCCCTAAGTTTGCTTTTCTGTGAGGCATTACGCTTTTCTGTGAAAATGAACTAAAGCAGATCATCTTCTATCTATGTATATAAATAAAAATGTAATGTTCGTTTGTTCCTACCAATTCCTTTGAAATTTTGAGACAACGCTGCATTCGAATACGCACGTGCTTTTATTGCTATTCCAATTTTCCAATGGCCGAATAACTAGTTTCATTGATTTTTCTCTAATTTTTCAAATCTTATAACTAATGTGCTTGATATCCTGTATCAGAAACATCTCCCCTATATATTAAATACGTGAGATTTATATTTAGCCATTTAACTACATAGCGTGCATGAAACTCGTGTCCGGAAGATAAAACTCTTAAAACCTTGAAAATCAAACAAGATGTTTGATCAATACGACGATTCTCTGGATTACATCCATATGAGAATAATTGTGCTGTTTCTGATGGTACTCGTAGATAGCTACGAGTACTGTTACTTCCAGTAGAATTTATTCCTCCTGCGTATATGAATCCAGGCTCTACTCTGGCTCTCGGATAATCCTGTAAGATTTAATATGGCAAATTAGATGAATTGGTTGAATACGACAATCCTGATGGCTAGTTATTGACAAATTAACAAACGGTGGTGGTCTACGTTCAGCAGCAGCTTTCAATCCTGCATCTTGGTTTTGAAGCATATAAGGAATTGTCAAATATTGCGTACTCTGTTCAGAACCAGAAACTGTGACATATCAAAAGTAGACAGGTTGAAAAGGTATTTGAGATGCTGATTGTATACGTCGATGAGAGTTTCTTAATCGCTGAGTAAACACGATCATTAAACATTGGTAGTTAGTCGTGGGCTCGCGCCTCAACTACAGCAGATATAATGAATATTTTGAAGTGACTTATGGAAAAACACTTTCTTCAGATGAACTTTCAGAAAGTTTCAGGCGTTACGCCTTTACATATTGTATCTTATGCGACCAGAAAAATATAGAAAAAAAATATGTTAAAGCTACAAAGATTTCATTCCGCTAATACTAAATTTCTGTCATATTCTAATACTTTATTACTTTTAAAATTTACAAAAATTGGTACAGTCTTCATTGAAAAATATGGGTGACTCACCTTTGCATAGAGCAAACTTTCAATACAAAAACATTCTGATTTTGAAAACTTATTTAAACTTAATTATGAAAGCATTAAATATTTACCAATACAAATAAATAATTTAATGAAATTTCAGCTTAAAATATCGTTCAGTAATCATATGATATAACATATAAACAAAGATACATTGCATTTTTCTAAAAATATAACTGTTTGCATAATTGACCTTCATTTATAATTTCTAGTAGAATTGAAACAATTATATAAAGTATTTATACAGAAAACGTCACTTTTGCTCAACCCTGCTTATTCTTTGATGCTACGGAGCCTCGCACCTGGTTTTAAAGCTACCATAGTTTGACTGTGCCTATCCTTTGAGAAAGCTCTTCCTCCATAGAGCATTATGGAATAATAATCAAATTCATTTAAAATTCTCATTTGATTTGGCCCAAGCATAACGAACTGCGATTTCATCTCTACAAGTATATTATAATGCATTAAACACATGTTTTAATTCATATATTTTGCAAATATGTATTAAATTGATATTATCTTACTCGGTTTTATATTCTCCCAAAATATTTTTACGTATTCATCTCTGTCAGGTCGATTCTGTTCGTGGTAAAAGCCAACAATGTGATTCAATTGATGAATGATTGCTCCCAAATACATGTATTCATTAGTCAGTGATACGAAGTTTATTCCTTTACTTTAACCCACCATTGCATAACATCTGAAAATTTATTAATTTTAATAATTTTGCTTATATCTTGTAGAGGTTTCTGGTTAACTTACTGATTATCACTTAAAATTTCTACGTAATTTTTTTCATTGTTTTTCTTTTCAAATCGAATACAAGTTTTCTCACGGAAAGTCTTCATGGCTTTCATTATTACCCGTCTAGATTTTTTAGAATTTCCTAAAAGTTTTCAAACCAAATATTAAAAGTTAAATTATTTATAAATTTTTTAAATGCATAAAATAATTTATTACGAAGTTCTTCGTCAATTACGTATGGTATGATTCCTCCGGGCCACAAAAGAATATTAAATCGAACAGCATTCCTCGACTGAAAATGTTTAATTTCGAGCAACAATAATTATTTTAAATTTAAAATTTTCTATCAATTTCTATAATTATTTACATCATCGAAATCTCCAATAATATCGCCACCGAATAGATCGGGATTTTCTAAGGCAAGATCGGCATTTTCCGAATGTACTTGCAATATAATTATGCTAATTAATTAATGTAAAAACTAAAATACTAACAATGATTATGGGTTACAACCTTACCTTCAGAATACTCCTGATTAAAATTTTCGAAATTTTGATTATTTGTAATGTTTGAAAAAGAAAGGTGGAAGATTGCTAAACAGATTATTTTTAAAAATTACAAATCGAAATTGGTATATTACATCGTATTAAAAATAAAATATTGTTTATACGAATACACTTTTGTTTACGTAAAAAAATAAACGTGTAGATTAAATAAATGCAGAATAAGCTTTAAGAAAATTTTATAAAAATAATATTTTTAGAATTTATAGAATATAGAATAGAAAGAAAAAGCATCATGGTAATAATATAAGATAGGCTTAAATATTTTTACATATCTTCAAGTTATCTTGCATAATGTGTAACAGAAATAACTATTTGTAGTATAATTTACTACCTATTTTCGACATTTTGTTTCTCCACGCAAAATGAGAAGAGAATTCAAGAAGAGCTGAATGAGCTGAAATCCGAAGTTCAGTTCATGAAAATAAATATAAATAACTCTCTCGGATGAAAATCGTCAAAAATTCTTCTAACCTTCGGGATATCCAAGTAAATTATGTAATACAAACAGATTTAAAACACGTTAAATCTCTTTTTGTTATTTCCGAGAAAACTACAACCAAACCCATATTCAATACTGGAATTTATTCGGAAAAACCAGTAAAAATGGAAACTGTGGATCCAATCAGAAAAATCTATGGAGCAATAAGATTGTGGTTTCAGAATCATCTCGAATAGCTCTTTTAGCAATGCATTTAAATAGAGAAAAAATAACAAAAGCCGGATGAGGAAATCATCGAAGCACTACAGAAAATGCAAATTCAAAAGCGCAAATGGCTTAGAGAGACCAAGCTCCGGAAACGAAACAAAAGGAAGAAGAACGAATTGTGGTAACAAGTAAAATTAAAGATTTATGCAAAAAACTGTTACGCGAAAAAAAATATAATTTTGCCACGAAAGAAAAAGGAATTTCATTAAAATCACAGCGCACAAAATGTTCGGATCGAAATTTCAACAATTCCTAAGAGAAAAAGTTCCGAATCAGACTGTTTCCATAGAAAACGGTATTAGTTCGAAAGAATTAGTTGGAAACGAGAGTCCTGCAGAAATTAAAGTAGAGAATTCGACCGATATGGGAAAAGCGGATGCAAAGGGTAATTCAACGATCACTCGACAAATTTCTGAACCTGCCATTAAAAGTATTTGGCGATATCCAGAAAGAAAACAGCCTTTAGATCGAAATTCCTGGCTGTTAAAAAGTACGTACGACCTGAGAGAGAAACCAAAAAAAAAAAAAAAATGATGAAACTCAATTTTTTTAATATAAACTCGGTTTAGACACAGTTATTTTCTAGAAATTATCACGTTGACCAAGTCCAATAAGTTACTGACGTATAAGATCAATACGTTTATTTACTATTATTATGCGCAATTATGCATTTCATAACTATTAAAACTCTTTTCCATCAGTTTTTATTTTCACTGAAATTGAAACTGTTCGTAAGACAAAATCATTTTAATGCAATATAAAGTAAAATTTACTTCAAACAAAAATGACAGGTAATAAATTATATCCCGCAATGTTTAACTCGTATTTATTTCACGTTGATGTGTATACAGCGTTTAGAAGTTAATGGTCTGCGTGATATATTTTTCAAATGAAAACTTTTCGTTATTAAAAAATTTTACTGTTTATGATTTAAAAAAAACGACATTTACGGTAAAATTCACTTATTCTAATCTCTTTCGTATCTGAAAATAAAGCGAGTGACAATAATTGATCTTCGTGCAAACTCGACCACTTGTCATGTTTATGAATACACTTCTAAATATAATCGATTTCTCCGTAAATAATACAAATGAATGTTATCGCCCTAAATAAATGGCACGTACATAAACAAGTAATAATAAACATATTACTTTCTAATCAATGAAATTTGTATTTATTCTAAAATCCATGTTTTTTTCCGGTACATAAAGTCAATTGTTTTATGCACAAAATGAAAGTTACAAAACGAAGAAAATCAAACTTTAGAAATTTGTTGTTTCATGTTCAATAATATCTAAAATACGAGTATTACATATTTTTCAAGGAAAGTTAATAAAATCATTTCCACAAGTCATTGTTCGTTACTATTATGATGTTTAATAATATGATACTTTAAAGAAGCTTTAACACGAAATTTTTGTAAGCAATGATTACACGAGAATGGTTTCTCTCCGGTGTGAAAACGAAGATGTCCTATCAGATGATGTTTTAGTGTAAAACTTCGTTTGCAATGGTCGCAAGAGAATGGCTTCTCCCCCGTGTGAGTTCGGAGATGTCGAATCAGATTTCCTTTTAGTGTAAAACGTTGTTTGCAGTGTTCACAGACAAACGGTTTCTCTCCGGTGTGAGTCTTGACGTGGTCAAGTAGATTACAGGATTGTGTAAACTGACGACTACAGTATTGGCAAGTGACGAGCCCTTGGCCAGTGTGAATCCTTCGATGATATTTTAACCCATTGTTCGAAACGAATTCTTTCTTGCAACTGTCACATTGATACTTCCAATTCTTTCTCTTCTGAATGTTTAAACCTGTAAAATACGACAAATATAAATATTAAAAGCAGTCTAGATCAAAGCTCTCTTCAATTTATTGCCAATCAAATATTTAAATTTAAGCACACTATATTAAAAGTATTGTTAAGTTTTGGATGTAGATACAAGAAAAAGTTTTTTACATAAAATTTAAAGGTTAAACCTACACGAAGGTTACCACCACACCAGAAACAATAACTATTTACAGGAATTACCAAAAAGCATTAACAATATCACAAATTAACATAATTTATACACTTTCTGAAAACAATATAAATGGAGTGTATTTTGCAAAAATAAAAACAAACAAATATTCCGAAAATAATTTTAAAATATCTTCGTAGATTTCTCTCTTTCTTCACTTGCACGAAAGACGGTTTCTTTGTTGATATAATCTTGTATGATTTCTTAACACTGGCTTTAATGTTAACAACAAAAGTCGAACACATCCTTCGACTCTTCTTGTGTTTTCCCGGAAAGAATTCTTCATTTTGTACACAGAAATGCTCTTGATTATTTAATGAACCTGAAAGTCATAAAAAGTGCCAAATAAAATCGGATACGAGAATGACGTCATACATTATTTTCTAAGTCAAATTTAAATTATCAAAATTAATGTAGTAATTCTAGAAATTCTTTTTTCGGCATTTCATGCCATAATATACCAGAAGGGTGTGAAACCCAGCTGGTATATTATGGCAAATAGCTTTATCTGCGATTTTTACAAAGAAAAAATCAGGTACAAATGTATTTTACGAAGAATAGTTATATAAATTTTCTATCGGTTTTCCTATTTTACAGCTTTCATAGATAAACTAAAAGTTATAAAAACTCAACCGTATTTTTAATGTTGTTTTTAATTTCGGAACAAAGTAAAAATTTACTTACTAATTTTATAAACTTCAGTCAAGAAAGACACGTAAAATACTAACAATACTTGTTACCACAAACACTAAGGCATTCGATACATCACCAAATGTTACCCGTGAAACCTCTTCTGCTTTTTAAAAAAATCTTCCTTTTTTTCTTTCTAGTGAAATCGTCACCGAGGTTTCTTCCTTCCATCAGGATTGTAAATCATGTTATATTTTAAAAAATCTACACCCAGACTATTGATTATCGAAATAAAATGGCGACGGTTTATGTTCGAAGAAACGACTCACTTAGCTGTTTGGACGATAATTCCTTAAGCTTCCGTTCGTTTTGTCGTGCGCCTGAAAGGACAATACACTCTACACCCTCTGTCTTTACAGACGCAAAAAAACTGTGGGCCATCAACACAGTAAAATAAAACTTCTGTCGACTTTTTCTGTAACCAAAAGAGAACGGAAGTGCGTCACTAGTATTGGGCGAAGTGTAGCCCACTATACATATTCATTGTCTCTTCCTTTTCTGTGGTGACAAAGTACGAACCGATCCCAAGACGATGGAGAAAACGGATACCAAATGGCACGTTTCCTTTAATTTCTTCCTAAAAGACTTAGCTCATCAGAAAAGCAATTTTCAATCTATTGGGTATTTAGGATAAAACGTACTTTAGCATTTCTCTAATCCAAGGTTACACTTACCGGACTTACCGTGTTTCCCCGAAAATAAGACATCTGCAGAAAATAAGACCTAGCACAGATTTTGCTGAATTGCGAAATATAAGACCTCCCCCTAAAAGTAAGACCTAGCGAAGTTTTTTTTAGTCGTAACGGTCATCGACAGATGGTTGAAAGTGGCCGTTGGCTTTTTGAAAGTACCACCACTAATTGGTCAGCAGACAATACGCCACGCGGCATGATTTGCATAAGACTATGGCTTGGGAATCACAGATTTGCATAACGTTACGGCTGGTGATGGCTAATTGGTCGGCCGGGAATCATGCCACATGACATTTGCATAGTGCTACGGTTCAGTAAGCACTAATTGGTCATCGAATCCGATGACGCTTTAAAAAGGCGACAGTTCGACAGACCGGATATACGTCACTCTCGTCTAAGTTCGACTTGGGAAATTTTTTGTTCAATAATAAATGTGAATTCTTCTTCCTGGAAAAAATAAGACATTCCCTGAAAATAAGACCTATTTTTCAGAGCAAAAATTAATATAAGACACTGTCTTATTTTCGGGGAAACACGGTAGATGCATGCTAACTGTCAATTTTCGAAAAAGAGTGGCGCCATCTAATATTTAAAATTCAAAAGTTTTTACTTCTTTTTTTTCAAAATTTGTTGGTCTAAAATTCAAAAATAATCTTTCATTAAAATAATATTAACCCGTCGGCACGCGCGTGCTCCGTCAAATTTAAATTACGCGCGCTCGGTCAATTAAGCACCAATTTAAAAAATTAAGTAATAAAAATTTAGCGTCGAAAAACGGGTACTTTTACTTTAGTCCAGTTTTACGATATGTTTGTAGTCGAATTTAATCAAAAAAATTTAATTTTGTTTTAATTTTTTGATGATTTTAATTTTTTATTATTAGAAGGTAATTAGCATAAATTACAGTGTCGTGTTTCATCTTCTCTCCCGTTCAAGTTTATAGTCCTAGACACGCGCCGATGTTTGTTTTTACTTCTACTGGTCTTTCCGCTTTTATTTCACCCTCGTCCGTTTTGGTTGCAGACGATGGGGAAACGGGCGTCACGTGATCACTTACCTCACTTTTTACCACATAAATTACTGTACCGTGAAAGTTTCATTTTTTTTCTCGATTTTAATTCTTAATAACTAACTTTTTTTGACAGATTCTCATATATATGTGTTCTTTGAAGTTGCATATATTTTTTTATTAAGTTTTATGCATTTATGTTTTTTTATTCGCATTTTATATATAAAATATAAGAAAATTCAAAAATTAATTAATTGTTATCAGAAATGCTAAACTATAAGTACGATGTGTTTTACAGTACTATTGCGAATAGATATAGTCAATTATTTTGTAAACATATTTATTATTTTAATTTTTATAAATTATTTAATTTGATTCAACGCGACGCGCTCAGAATCGATCATTTACAGTCGCGCGTTATTTAAGATGGCGGCGGGACCCGATTTAATTACTTCTTCATTTAAGATGTTAATTAGAGAGTGCTATTTTAATTAAATTTTAGACATAATGTATGTTTATTATAATTAATAAATTCATATAAAAATAATATATATTTCTGACTGTAGTTTAAAGCTTACATGCGCAATGTAACGGCAAAATATATAAACCAAATTAACGCAATTTTTTTATTTTTACTGATATACAGTAAATGCTTAAATACTCGATTTCTCTACTATCTAACAGTATAAAATACTTGTTAAAATATAGAATTTATATTTAAATAATAAAAATTCTATTTTTTTATTTAAATTTATTTAAATAAAAAATTTATATTTTTTAAAATTTGATTTATAAATGCAAAAACTAAACTTATAAAATATCAACTCACTATAAATAACTTCAACTTTCCTTTATTGACATCAGATTTGTTAAATTTCACGGAATTGTGCTATTTTTCAACTCTATTATTTATTCTCTGGAAAATAATAGACTCTAATAAGTCTTACTAGAGTCTATTATATAAACTTACTAGTCTTCCACTGTGAAAAACAACAAACTGCTAAACGCTCTATTACTTTGTTTTCAAAAACTTCCTTCTCTGTCAGCCGAGGGTCAAATGGCTAACAAATTGGTTACTTCCACTCAGGGAAATGTGATGGTGTCATAAAACTTTATAAAATGATTTAAAAATACCAATGAAAAAAATTATTTCCGGTTAAATTTCAGTTTTCTACAAGTTATTCGTTTTATAATAACGCGATTATAAGCGAAGAAGCGCGCGCCGTAGCTGCAGCTATTTTTAGTAACAGCGACTGGCGGGAAATTTGAAAATTGAAATTTGAGATCGCGCGCGCCATAGTGCCGATTCGGCACCAATAATTAAATAAAAATAATGAGACGCTTTAAGCAAAAACTGAATTGCGCATCGTAAAATTGAAAAAAAATTAGACAGGTAATAATTTTTTCAGATTTTACAAACAATTAAAATTTTTACTCGAACTATTTAAAAATCGATTGGTGCCTATTCGGCAATAGGCGCGTGCCGACGGGTTAAAAATGAGTTTTGTCGAAACCATTATAAATAATTATTTTGAACCCAATAGTCACAAACAGTGGTGAAATGTAAACTAAGTTACCAGAAAATCCACGTTTAAAACCTTTCTCCATTTTTGAAATTTATTAATTATGAATTGTTCGATTTCTCAAACGGGAGGTCAGATATCTTTGACATTGCAGAAATTGCATTCGGTTTAAGATTATTTAATACCCGGATGTGTGATAATGTGATCGGTGTTTATAATATTTCTATCGTTTTTTAATTGAAAGAACTTACCGTGCAGACGTAACACTTCGAATTTATCAGAAAAACCTTCCATAAACTGTCTAAAACGGAAGTGTTATCCCGATCGAATTCGTTTCAATACGAAAAATTTATACATTGGGGAGCACGAAAAAATTTGCAGTCTCGTGATTTGGATCTCCTCAGTAATGAATTGGAAGAAGAATTACAGAAACTTATAAACCTGCTAGATCGGTAGCCACACAAAAATTCTGCCAACGTCCGGTACGACGACGCTGCGTGTCCCATTACCCGAAAAAAAAAGGCGAGTGTTTAAACAACACCCTCCATTTCGAGATCCCATTCGAAAATGCCACTTAATTGAGGCCGAGGCAAAGTGCTTGGAAGTTAACACCAAATAAGAGTAGAATAATATAAATGTATCCGTAAATAAAACTGAACGTAGCAAAGCGCGGGCTGCGTAACATCCGAAGGAGGTCTGACGGGTATTGCTAATTTCTAACCAGATCGTCCCTCCCGATTTAGAAATGCAGACGGATAGATGGAATAATTCGTGATTAATAAATTATATAAAGCAGAACAGATTCAAATGTAGATTGTTCTCGTTCAATTCATACTGCATCTTCGGCCATTCGTTTGATTGTTTACGGCTTTTGAGTTCAAAATCA